AAAACCCAGAGTTTTCGTTAACTCAGGGTTTACTTACTCAGAGTTTGCACTAAACCGGCTTTCTGAAACAGGGCCCTGTACTGTGTGACAGGTTTCTATTTTTTTTTTTTTTTGTTATTGTTAAAATCTCACATCTGAGAACTAATGTGCACAATAGTGAGCCACCCAGTTCTTCTATGTCAGTGTTGTATGGATGTTGCCAGTCTACTTTAAACATGCAATTATGCGTTCTTCATGTCATGTCAAGAAAACTAATCTTGAGGCTACAAACCCATCAAGTTTTAGACCAATCTCTTGTTTTTCTTTTGTTGTCTCTTTTTACAACTATTGTTGTTATACTATTTTAACATGTTCAAAATAAAGGTACATACAAATACAAACCTGCGGTGTACCTTAAGGCTCCATCATGGGTCTAATTCTGTAGTTTTAAAGAGCTACCAAAAAAAAAGTTAATTAAGTAGTTCTTCAAAATAAATGCTCAAATAAGTACCTAGAGACATTTCAGGATTGCTGCCACTGGCAAGACTTTCTTAGGACTTTAATACATTCAACTCATGATATCGCCTCTTTTTTTTTTTTTTTTTTTTAATCGTTTCAGACCTGGATCACACAGCAGATGTACAGTGAGTACCTTTTTGGTATAGTAAAACCATGTTCCTCTGTTTTTTTTCTTAGTTTTTAACAAAAAAAAAACCCCTTCTTTTTTCTTTTCCAAGAATTCACTCTTGGGGAGACTCTTTGGAGGAAGCCTTTGAGCAGTGTGCCATGGGCATGTTCGGCTACATGACGGACACAGAGACGGTGGAACCGATAGATACAGTTGAAGTGGAATCGGAGGGTGAGAGTCTGTCACCAAGATTTCAACCGACTCCAGTTGTACCTACTTTCTACCTGTCTCAGTCTGGCTGTTTGCAGAGCAGATCAGCTAAAGTCTGTGTGTATGTTTTTGTTCCTAAAAGGTGAAGACATGGAGTCGCTTCTCTTCCACTTCCTAGATGATTGGTTATACAAGTTTAGTGCAGATCTTTTCTTTATTCCCAGGGTGAGTATCTTGGTCACTTGTGTATTACTTAACATGTACTTTAAACTTCTTTACATTGATTGCATATCTGTTTTTGTTTGCAAAAGCATTTGAGACCTGAGCCTTTATAAAATAGATCGGTTTTGATATAAATTATGACTTAAATGGGTAAGTATAAAATCTTTCCTTGACACGGAAAAATAATATAGACTTCATACATTTCTATGAAAGCAGGACAGAAAGCAACATGTATTGCTATCTTAACCATCTCCAAATTCTATGTCAAGCCACATTTTTATAGGCCCAATGAAACAGATCCATAAGTATTTTGACCCTGTTTTTGTCATTTTGCCTCTATACACTCCCCGAAGCAATTTTAGTTTTAATTCAAGGGTTTAGCAGAAATACGGCATCACTATTCAAGAATTATATACACAGTCGCTTATTTTCAGATTCTCCAAAGTAATTGGACAATTGACTTCCAAGCTGTTTCGTGGTCTGTTGAGGCCTTCTTCCTGATTACTTCAAGACAAAATGACTACAATGGTCTGGATTTGATTATATAAGTTTATTTTTGCATTTTATAGCTTTTTACTGGAGCTCTCAATGTGAGGTCCAAAGAGTGGTCAACGCATGTGAAAGAAGCCATCTTAGTCTGGGAAAAAAAAAAAACAAACCTAAAAAGGAAATGGAAAAAAACTTTAAGTGGTCAAATCAACAATGTGGCCATTCTGTAAACTAATGAATGAATCATCTGGCCAGCTCAGCAACATCAAAAGCCTTGAAAGACCACAGAAGACAACTAAAGTTGATGATTGAAGAAATCTTTCCTGGATTAAGTAAAACCACTTCACAACACATAGAGAAGAACACTGTCGAGGAGGTAGGCGTGCCATTGTCAAGGTCTGCAATCAAAAGACAACTTCATGAATGGAAACAGAGGATTTACAGCAAGGTGGAAACCACTGGTTACACTCAGCAACAAGGACATTAGATTAGAACATAAAAGAAAACAAAGAGCCTGCTCACAAAAGTAAGGAGACAGACTGAAACAGCTCATGATCACACAGATGCCACATCATCTGTCAAACATAGTTGAGGCAATGTTATGGCATGAGCATGTAGGACTGCCAGTTCAATTGGGCCTCTAGTTAGTACTGGTGGTGTGGCTGCTGATAGAAACAGCTGGATGAATTCTTAGTGTACAAGGCCGTACACCTTGCTCAGACTCAGTCAGATTCTGCGTTTCACAGTGCAAATTGAGTTTCTTAAGGAAACAGAAATGGGATATTCTTCAATGGCCACGTCAGTAACCAGCTGAGCATGCTTTTCAGTTACTGAATATAAAATTGAAGGCAGAGAGACCCACAAACAAGCAGCAATTTAATTTTATTTTAGTTTATCCAATTACATTTGAGCCTCTGATAATGGAAGACTGTGGATAAAAATGTCTGTAATTCCTAATGTTGTACTTTGGTTAAACTCCTTAATATTAAAGCTGAAACTCTGCACTTAAATCAGATCATGATTGTTTAGTTTTAAATGTGGTGATGAACTTACCCAAAACAACTGGTAATATTATCTTTTTTTCCCTTCTTTTTTTAATATAATCACAATCTCTAAATATAATAGGCTGCAAGTAATTTTGCTACTGTTCCTTATTTACATTACAGTTATGAAGTTGCTACATTTATGAAGTGCTAACAATTTTGTCATATCTGTTCATCAGGAGGTCAAAGTTTTACATATTGACAGAATGCGTTTCAAGATTCGCTCCATTGGGTAAGTTTGGGGTCCTCCTCAATAACACTGAAGTTATCTTGATATTTATTTTAAAAAAGTATTACGTACAATTCAAACCCGAGCTAATGTGGAACAACTTTGTAATTTGTTTTTAAGGCAAAGGTCAAACTTGATCAGGACATGCAAAAAAGTTTTAATTTACTTTCTTTGCTTTATTTTTCTTTGGTTTATGAAAGGTGGGGCGAAGAATTTTCTCTGGAAAAGCACCCACAGGTAAGCCAGACAAAGAAGTAAAATGACACTCATTAGAAGAAATACATAAAATGAATAACTAACGCTACAAAACTACAATGCAACTACAGTAACTTATGTCATTTGTTGTCCTTCTAGGGAACTGAGGTGAAAGCCATCACATATTCAGCAATGCAAATCCACGATAAAGAAAAACCAGAAATATTTGCCATCATTGATATCTGATACAACTGCGAGAAGAAGCTCACACTCAATGGTTCAGTAAAAGTGGGAAGTCTACATGACCAGTTTAAGTGGCCTTTTAATTCAGCGCACTGATTTTTGATTAGTACTGTCTTTTTTGGGGCATGTAATATCAACTCTTTATTTAAATGTAAAAAAGAATTGTAAAATTAGCCTTACATTTAAATGAGACTTGTGGGGATATCAATTATTTGGAGGGAATACACTGAATTTGAACTGTGCACCTGAAGTCACAATTACCAAATTTAAGCTCAAATTTTCATTTTAGGATATTATTACTCTTATGTGTGATGGTTTTGAAGGTGTGTTGATGCATTATATCTCATTGTAAATAAATAAGCAAATGTTTACCTTTGACATACAATTGAGTCACCTGTTTTTCAACTTAAAATCTCAGTTTTAAGTATTTTATAGAAGTGTTGCGATTAAATAGGACAGAAGTGCAAAAAGGTCATCATTTATCACCATATTTTAGCAAAGAATATCAAATTGGAAAAAATATGCACAACTTACTGAGTTCAACACAGCAAAATATTCCAAATGTACACTGAGTCTACTTTTTGAACTGTTTAAACCTGTTCATACATCAAATGTAAGATGAGCGTATTCTACAAAACACTTCCCTGCATTAGACATCAGGATATTCATGCCTGGGCTTGTGACCTATTTCCAGAGAGTAACTGAACAAAGGTTTTCTAAGAAACGTCCAAAGCTTGTTTTCAATAGATGTCTCAGACAAAGCGGTATAATACCAGGAATCTGCCTGTATGAATAACGGAAAGTACAGGCAGCAGTATTCTATGTAGAAGAGAACTGTTTTGGTCTTTGACTAAATACACATACCAGGCAAAACAGAATAGTGTGTTAAAACGGGATGTTGTATATCCTGTATTGCTTCAGATAACTGAGAAAGAACATTATCTGCATTGATATTATAGCTTCTTCTTGCTGCAGTGCCCACCAAGCACCTCCGAAAATTCAACCTGAATTGACTCATTCATGTGTGATGTGTGAGCTGATAGTTGAGAGCTTAAATCATTACAAATTATATTATTATTTGTTTGTAAACGGAGCTGGCCTTTGAAAACCCATGTGGTCTGTTTTGATGATGTTCTGGACTGATGCACTGGACAGTTTGTATGTATTGAATTTCAAAACTTTGTTGTGACATTTTACAATAATTTATATCATAATCCAGACTATTGTAGATGTGGGTAAATGGTGTGTAGTGGTGTTTGCTGTATGCTTGTGAGAACTGTCTGAACTAATTTATTTTCAAGTTTCTTTATTTTTGTCATCTGAATACTAATTTTAAAACTCAGATTAAAGAACCCAAAGATCATTTGTGTCTTGTGCTGGTTGATTTTGTCAGACTACAATTTCCTGTTTCTTGAAGGACATTCAAAGCTCTTCTTTGGTTGTTGGATGCTTTTTTTTTTTGTTCTGTTCTCTGATAAGATCATCAGTAAAACATGCTACCACTGTGCAGGTCTCATGTAATTTGGCATGCCTCAGCCCTTTTCTCCATGTTTCCCTTCCTTGAGAATGGTTTCTTATGGCCACTCTACCACTGAGACCAGGCTTTGAGGCTTCTGTGAACTAAAATGCATCTCTCAGGTCCTGTGTCAGGTCTATGCTGGATTCCCCTCGCTGTTTCTTAAGGACATTGCTTTCATATACCATTCATCTGCTGTAGATGGCTGTTTAGCCTTAAATACTACCCTTTTTTTTGTCCTCGATTTTCCTCAAAGTTTTTTCAGAGCACACTCCACACCGTGCTGAGAAGTATCAAGTTTGCGATAATAGCTCCTTGTTTTATCCCTGTCAACCGTGGTTTCTTTGGAATTTTCCATAAAATCAAGTAAAGAAATAGGCACAAGGTTTGGGTAAAGTACCTTAAAAGAAATCCCCTCAAATAAATGAAAAAACAGACAATAAAACAAGGTTTGCTCTGACTTTGGCACAGTGCTGTAACAGCAGGTAATCAGGGCTCTGGAGCTTCTTGCAGTGACGTCACGGTCGCCTTCCGGGTTCCCTCCTCCCCCTCACTGAAATGCAGCTGCGCCATCCACCCTCCTTTGTCTGCTGAGGAAGAGTGCGACGACTTGCAGCGGAGAAGACGCCGGTGGGCCCTTTACTAACTACACTGTTTTCCTTGTTGTTGCATTTTCGTTTTAAAGGGGAGAAGCTTGACGAACTGAGCAGAGCTTCGTTCGCGCGTTATGAGCCAAACGAATGCTAATAAGAGCAACATAGAGCCCGCCGTAGAGTCAAGCCCAGCAGAGAATAAGATCAAAATGGAAGACACCAAGTACCTCCCGGAGCTCCTGGCGGAAAAGGATAGCCTGGATTCATCGTTCACGCATGCAATGAAACTCATATCTGCAGGTAATGTCGCTATTTGCTTTAACATAAAGGCTAACCCGGGCTAGTTAGCTCGAGTCGAGGCCTGTTTTTTTTTGTCCCTTCTTAGCCGAGTCGAGAGGCTTGAACAATGGCGCATTAAGCACGTGGTTGATAGCGATGTGGGTCAGGTCGTTGTCCAGTGTGTATTTGAAGCTGTGTAATTAAATCACTTGCTCTCAACGGTTCTGATGGGATTTTAATCGTGTTTACTCATCAGCTAACACCGATACTTAACGACGAACAGCTGCGATTTCGAGGGGACTATTTGCTAACTACAATCCGAATGCATGCAAAGCTTTACCTGCCGTTTCATCTTCGGATGACGCAGGGAATCGTAACCCATATCATCTGAAAAAAATAGCTTTCGTCTATTATTTGAAATGCATTTGTTCATCGATGTCAGCTTTTTAATCGTGTTTAATTCCTGCAGAGATTGAGAGGATCCAGAAAGGTGAAACCAAGAAAGAGCCTGAGAAGGAAACATACCTGGACCTGTTTGCGACCAAGAATCTGAAGCTCAAGGAGCGTGTCCTCATTCCCACCAAGCAGTACCCTAGGGTATGTCTTTTCCCATTTACATAGCGCCCTAACCACCTAGGCGATTCAATCAGCTGATCTAACAGATTATTAATTGTACTGATTTCTCACACTCTTAATTAGGTTTTTTTTCCCCTTTTGGGGAAGAGGGGTGTCTGAGGTGCTGACGTGAATTATGAATTTGTTGCAGGTCAACTTTGTGGGAAAGCTTTTGGGACCTCAGGGTAGCACAATCAAGAGGCTGCAAGAGGACACCGGAGCAAAGATTTCAGTTCTGGGTAAAGGTTCCATGAGGGACAAGAACAAGGTTTGTCTAACGGTTTCCTTTGCTTCTGTCTTATTGCCCTGCATCACTCCTCTGGCTATAGAGTTTTGTGCGCTCATTGTTTTTAGGAGGAAGAATTTAGAAAGGGGGGTGAGGCTAAATATGCTCACCTCGCCATGGAACTGCATGTGTTCATCGAGGTGACGGCACCCATACCAGAAGCGTACCTGCGCATGGCTCACGCCATGGAGGAGGTGAAGAAGTTCCTTATCCCGGTATGTGTCCGGAGAGACATCTTGATGCAAGAATCAAACTTTCTAACAGAGATCCACTGATTCCTCACTGCTCTGCAGTAATGGTATGCATGTTTGTCTGTTGCCAAATGAACAGGAACCTGGTGAGCACGATCCATACATGGATCCACTGTTCCTGAATGGATCCCAGGATGGTTCGAGGGGGCGAGGTGGTCCTCTAGGAAGGGGCAGAGGTGGACCACCTGGTGCTGGAGGACCAAGGTATGCGCTGGAATCTGCGACATAGTGTACTACAATACATGTTGTCTGGTAACACGCTTACCTGAAAAGAATGTCTTAACGGGTTGAATATGTGCTTGCTGCAGATGTAAGATTCACACAAACTTAAAATTACAAATGTTTCTCAGTAAACTAAAATGTATCTGCAGATCACTAACGTGGAGTCCGTTTTTTGCAGCTGGTTTGGCTAAGTAGGTTAATGGTTCTGATTTAACATTGCACAGGGGCCGAGGAATGCCACGTGGGGCTCCTCGGGGAGCGATGCGCGGTGGGGCTCCACGCGGAGCACCGGGGCGAGGTGGTGCACCAAGAGGTGCTCCGTCTGGTCGGGGTGGACCTCCTTCTGCTCCTACTAGAGGAGGCTCTGCTCCTCGCTCCAGACCGCCTGCAGCAGGGGCTCCCAGGATGCTCCCCTCGGCAGCCTTGTCTCACCAGCAACACCAGGTTCCACCTTCAGCAACAGGGTCAAAGCCTGATGCTTATGAGGATTATGTAAGTGCTGAATCCTATTTGACAGCATTTTTGGCATGAATGGGAATGGCGCAGATTCATGATGTTGCCTCTTTTCTTTCTGTCTAGCCTGCATATGATGACTCTTATGCAGAGCCGGCATATGAGGGATATGATAATTATTATAGCCAGCCTTCTGCCCCTGCGTAAGTCAAGTTTAATTTACGTAACATGTCTCTTTAATGTGTGGTTTTTTGTTTTTTTTTGTTTGGTATTTTTTTTTAAATAAAATATTTAATTTGGGTATAATTTAAGTATACCTTCTTAACCCTTGTTGGTGATGTGCCCCCAGGGATACAGAGTATTATGATTATGGACACGGTGAAGCCCAGGATCCATCATATGAGGCCGGTTATGGTAAGTCTTTAAATCACACGTATCTTTGCTTTTGCTTTATTGCTTTCAGACTTTTAGCTGATATTTGCATTTTTTTTTTTTTTTTTTAATTTATTTTTATTTTTTTGGTTTCCTCTGCTTTTCTGTGACTTCTTGTAGCTCAAGATGATTGGGACAACTCGTGGTCCGGTGCCGGGGCTGGAGGCAAGGCCCCTCCATCTAGGCAGGCGAAGGGATCGTACAGAGAGCATCCTTACCCAAGATACTGAACAACTACTGGTAGAGAGTTGCAGTGGCAACTGTCTCCGATTGTAACTCACACTTGACTTTACAAAAGTAATTTCCCTCTCGTTTCCCTTGTTAATGGTTTTATTTAAAACATTCTTTTCTCTTTTTATTTTTAAAACCTAGGACATTTTGTTGGATGTATCCTAGTGCCAGAGGAGCAACATTTTTCTCCCTATTGTTTATGTTTGAGTTGCGTAGTTAAGGTCTTAGTGACATAAACAGAACCAACAAAATGACTTTTTTAGTTTCGTTTTTTTGTTAGATATTTGATGGTAAATATTTTTGTTCCTGCACAAACTGTGATTGTGGCGATTAAAATTTTCTCACATAGGCTGCATTTGTTTTGTAAAAAAAAGTCCTTCATGACTGGACAAATTATTCATAATGACTCCATTTGTAAATTTATAATAACTTAAACAGATTTAGTTGCAAACTCAAATAGAACCATTTTGATTAAAACGGTCTTATTTGTTTATATTGCATTACAAATCTAGTTATGTGACTTTACTCCCAAAGAGCAAATAAACAAAATATAACTGTAGAAATCCATTTGACAAAGAATAAAGGCCTTTATTTTCTGCACCCTTTTACAATTGGTATTTTATGAAAAGTCGCTCTATTACTTGCAAAATCATCGCTGATCGACTAATTCTTGTAAAGCTTGAAGGATTAATAACTTACTGTGTACGTAAGACTACAGCCAACTCGGTCTTTTTTTGTATATAACCTTAGAAAAACTGTGTATGCTTAAGTCGTGCCGTCTCCAAAATGCTTAATGCTTGTGTACCTTTTGACTAAATAGGTAACTAAACACATCCCCAAAAAAAACAATGTCTTTCTGCAGTGCGTGTTTCAATAAAGTTTCTAGTTTCTTTTTAATCAACCTAAACATGGTATTTTTGCCTTTGTTGTACCAAAGGATTATCTCCAGTTTGTGAAAATGGTCCTCAGTGGTTTTCAACAATGCTGAATAAGCTGTATGTATACACGTCAACTTTGATTTTTAAAATTCCAAAGCAGTGTTTGGTTTTTTGTTTTGGGTTTGGTTTTTTCTACAAGAAGTCTATCCTCTTCGCCTGTCTTCAAAATTTTATCTAAATGCCACTTGTAATGACACCTTAAAAAAAAAAAAAAAAAAAAAGGGGGGGGGGGGAAACTGAAATTAAATAAAGCTCATCGTTCCTTGAGGTAATGTGCTGCCAAATACATGTTTGACTTGAAAGTGATATTAGTGCTTGAACATGTATTGTCATTTAACCTTTAGTTAGTGCATCTCTTCAAGCTCTCAAGAGAGCCGTGCATCTTCAGCCGCTTGAAATAACCGAATTTCAACAGTATTTCAAATCAAGCTTGCAGGGATCTTACTTGACTTTGATGCAAAGTCATGCTGGCTGGTTTTTATAAAAGAAAAAAATCGCAGAGGGAGAGGATTCTAAAAGCCTAAAGATCGCCACAAGAAGGTAAAACTAACCCCAACACTCATTTTAGACTTTTTTATTTTTTTTCTGTGCAAAACATCCAAGTAATGCAAGTCATCCAAAACATCCAAAACATATTTTTAATTACAAAATTATGCTATTAGTAGTTCATTCCAGGCCAAATAAGCCGCACAAAACAATATGGTGTTGATGCAACTCTTGCTCAAATTTTAAAAAGAAACAAAACGAGAATTGCCCATTCATTTCACCTAATACTTATTACCATCTTGATAATTCTATAGATTGTAGATTAAATGAAAATTACTAGTAGCACTCTCAAAGCCGTAAAACTCATTGGTGGAGACGAAAGGGGAAAAAAAAATGCTTGAGTTGCATGATACTTTTAATATAAAATTAGTTTGCATGTTTTTAACCTGCTGTGTTTGAGTGTTGGCACTTGTGAGTTCCAGATCTCATTTAGTTTTCTCCTCTTAGGTTGTCTGAGAACTGCGTAGGTGCAGTTGATATATTGAACTCCGGCGTTGGCAGACCTTTTAAGGTCAGTTGAATGGAAATTGCCACATAAGTGTTGGCTTTGTTGTGTTACGTCTGATTAAGTTCTCCTTTCTATCGTTAGCAGGTCCATTGACGTTCCTGGAAAGGGCAGAGGCCTTGCAGTGTCTCTGATACTGAGGCGTCTCTCGGAGTGAGAGAGAGAGCTTGACTTTTGTGTAAGATTGCTTTAGCATTGATGGGTGTACGGGCATTAAATGAATGCTCGTTCTTGAATCTGTACAGATTTTACTCTTTTTAACTGCATTTTTATTTAACAATAAAAGAACAAAAAATGACAGATTTCTATTGATGGTGCCTTATTATTCTTTATGATGTTAATGAGCTGACAGGATGTTTGTCATTATCTCATGAAGTAAATCAATAAAACTATTTTTAAAGTGAAAGCCATTCATTTTTGTCCCTTTTTTTTTTTTTTTTTTTTTTTTTTTAAATTATGAGAATTTAATCTTTGGATATTGGACACACTTTTCTAAACATGTATGTGCAAGACTGAGATTTTTCTTGCAAGATCTAATTTAACATCCATCTACACATGAGCTGTAATGAGGTTTTTGTTTGACAGGGCACCAGTAACTGGAAAAGTAGTCTGTTAATTTAGATTTTTGGCCAAGCAAGCTATAAAATTATACAGAGATGCATTACAGTTATTGCAGACTGATCTGTACAAAGGCTACTTTTATTATCCTGTGCAGAAACAGGGAAGTTAAAGATATGGCTCGCAGGCTAGAAATGGCCAACTAAGTGGTCCAGTGTAGCCCGCTGGATGGCTTAGCATAGCTCTGCAAAAAACTGCACAGAAGGGAGTACATTTCTGGTGTTTTCCCATACTTTGCATCAGCAACCTTTGCCCTACAACTACTGAAGAAGGAACCGCACACAGTGAGTGGGAGTTTTACGGCAACGCTGGGTTTCTTTTCTTTTATAGAAAGGTTATTAATATAATTAGAGGGCTCTTTAAAATTAAGAAAAGTACACTAAACCATAAATGGTACAAGTACATCAATAAAGGTAAAATTAACATTTAATTTTTTTCGCAATGGACTGTGATGTAAATTATTAGTCAAGAAAAACATACAAAGAGAAACTGTTCACTGGAAAGTATTCATCTTGTGGCCAGCTACTAAGAAATTTCAAAACTGTAAAATGTTGATAAATAATTGAATAAATAAAAACATACAGCAAATTGTGCAAATATACAGTGATAAACCACACTGTATCTCATACAACACCTCCTTGATTACGGGTCAGAACCAGAGCACCAAAGACTCCAGTCCAGCCAACTGAATGACACAGAGAAATGTGAAAACTGTAACATCAAGGCATAAAATCTGATGTATTTTCATTGGTTTTACAGCCTTCTTACTGACAGAGTCATTGTCTACAGCATGGCATCCTACACCAAAGTAAATAAGTAGTTTTGTACTACATCAAAACACGAAAAACTTGCCATTTCTTAATTGTGTAATATATAAATTCGCTTAAAATGTTTTTAAGGTAGGTGACAGTAGAAAATAGGAAATATTCTGTGCCTTAACATTTTTTATGATTAAAGGTTAGAGTATTAATTACAGTAATAATTGTATTTTTAATACAATTTATCTAAAGTTGTTATACTCTATATACATATCTATATTATAGTTTGTGCGTACTATATATATTGTATAAGAATTGTATTATTTATTAATTCATTTTATAATTTATTTATATATAATAATACGTAGGGAAATGTTAGATAATATTTACATAGTTAATACGTAAAAATTATATAGAGAAACCTGTGATCGTATACTACCAAGTATAAGGAAACATTAGAGAGGCTTTTCAAAAGGTGCAAAACAGCTCAGAAAATGTTCAGTGGAAAAATCAAGATAGAATTACTGAAATATGTAAAAGAAAAAAAACAAACAAAAAAAGATTTATCGTACATTAAAAGAAAATGTCTTTACAGTAAAGGAGCAACAATTATATATGGAGGATGTTTTTCAGAGTAGACTATTAGAACATTTTAGACTCCGTGTATCTGAAACATGAACTGAAATGAGTCTTATACCCCTGTGTTAAATCGTCATTTTAATCGATAAAAACGCCTTTCTTTCCTTTCTTGGTTAAATATGAGTGGAATATCCCTTTAAATGACTCTCCTCCCACAGCTCGCTAACATATCCGCTCCGCCGTCTGTCTACGGCTAGTTTCACATCAACAATGAGTGTTTCTGCTGCTGTCAGTGACATACACGCCATTATTTCAATAAATATTCTAAAAATTTATTGTGTTTAGTTCATTATCTCTGCTACAGAGCAGCATCTGACTCAGACATCAGACACTGGTAAGCGTACATTTCCTTGTCTAGCCTGTTTGGTGGGTTAGAAGCTACCTAGCTAGTCAAAGCTACTGCTAGCCTAGGCCTCAGTCTTGATATTTAGTCATGCATGCTCTTGGCGGATAGACTGAGGTCCGTGCCTCATTGTGTAGCTCCACGTTGTGTTCGCCTTGCAGCCCTGTATCTCTAACACACACGGTTTTCTAAACAAATTTCACCCGCGAGTGAAGCAAATGGTGTAGCTATTTAGCTTAGCTTTTAATATCAGCTTCCGCAAAAACTTGCACTTTAGAGCGAGGGATGCTTTTGCAGCTGGTGAAAACTTCTTTGTCATGCATATTTATGATTCACTGGATGTCAGATATTCATGTTGCAGAGGGGTCTCCTTGCTGTTTGTTTGGGCTCTGTGCACGCCTCGTTTTATTATTTAAGCCATTCACAATGTCAACTTAACTCGTTTTAAGGCAGTACAGTGTGTCTTTCATGATAGATAGATAGATACTACAGACTGGTTTAAGTCACAATAAATATTTAGTATTGGCCAGATATTCTATATGAATCCTCTCGCCTGCTGCATTTGTACGAACAGGTACAAAAACACGGAGAGGACATATCACCAAAACAATTGAAAGAGGTGTGCCGTGGGTGTGTCCACAATGGCTGGTGGAAGGAGAGGAGCGAATCGTACCACGTACTGCAGACCTCCGTTAAGCAGTGATTCAGGCTCAGTTGGCAATGGAAATCACACAACCAGCTCCCCAGTCACAGGGGTGAGATCTCGCACTAGGTAGGTCAAACTCTCACACACTGCGCTCGATCTGTCTGTGCCTCCTCCGTGGCCTCTTCAGGAACTTCTGTGCCATCTGATCTGTCAGCAGGAACAGCCCAGGGACGTGCATGTCCAGTCCCCCTCTCGCGGCCCAGACTGTGGTTCCTCTGAAACACTGCAAGATCCCAGAGTTGTCCATGGATCAAAATGTGTTGTTCGAGCTCCATCTTTTCTTCTGCCACCTCATTGCGCTTTTTGTGCACTATGTCAACATCTACAAGACTGTGTGGTGGTACCCCGCATCTCACCCTCCCTCACACACATCACTGGTGAGCACTTGGGTGTTCAGTGTTTTGACAAAGAATGTTTCAGCAATTGCTTTGTTGATCAACCTCTGTGTAGGCCAGTAAGCACAATTTATACAGAATATGTGGAAAATCTCATGGGAGCAAAAATCTATGTTTTTACAGAACTTCCATCTTATTGATTATAACATGCTGGTGTTCACCATCATCATACTAGCAAGGAGGTTAATCGCAGCCATTGTTAAAGAGGTAAGAATTCAGTTATTGGCTTTTGTGTCACTTTACTTTTTATTAATCCAAGGCTCTCAAAAACACCTCATGCAGAAAGACTGTACCCCGTTCTTTTTTCTTTTTTTTTTTCATACTTATAAGGAAATTTCCAGCCGAAAAGGCCAGATGAAACAGAGACGTAAGAAAGAAATCAGTCTGCACGCAGCTCCACTTCAGTTTAATGATTTTCCCTTTTAAAGATTCTTCTTGTAGTAAAACAGTATCTTCAGATACATGCCTGAAGCACACTTTTAAGAATTTAAGAATTTTAATGGATTCAATTTTTCTTTACGTGCTTTTTTTGTTTTTGCTGTGCTTGGTTTCTCAGACATCTTTGATCATGTCCTGCTGTGAAAGATTTGACTGTTCTCTTCTCCTCTGCCTCAGGCGTCACAGAGTGGGAAACTCTCTTTCCCTCACTCGATCTTTTTAGTGATGGCGCGGTTCGCAGTGCTAACGCTGACAGGTTGGAGCCTGTGCCGCTCTCTCATTTACCTCTTCAGAACCTATTCTGTCCTCAGCCTGCTCTTCCTCTGCTACCCGTAAGTATAGTATATCAAGGCTTCCTTATTTTACTGAATCCTTGTTGTCTTTCTCACACTGATTGAACAGTTGTTATGTTTTAATGTGGCTTCATTTGTTTTCTTTGTGCTGTGATCAGCTGACCTACATGGCTGTTCGCTCTGAAGGTTACTGCTCTTAGTAGATTCAGCCATTTGCTTTTTAACCACTGTTCCCGCCCACATTAACCCCCTGATTAACAGGCCACAAACGCCAGAAGGAATTTTCAGTGCAAATAACTTGTTTTGAGCTATGTTTGCTCCTTCTAATGTTTCACATGTCGTTAACTTATAGATATGAAGCATTTGGACTAAAACCAGCTTTTGTAGTATACACAACTTTTGCCCTCTCTTAAAAGTTGTGTGAACCACATTATGCCAGTGAACATTCACATCTTGTTTCCATGCTCTGTTTGGTGCCCTACTTAAAACATAGCTTTGGTTTGCTGCACATTAATATTTAAATAAAGAAATCCAGTTACAGTGAAGTAGCTCCTATTCTCTTTCATATTTGATAGCGTGGCTTGTTTGCATGTCATTTCAAGAGGCAGATCAAGTTCTGTTTGGTGAACCTCAGAGTGCTTGATTACAGAGCCTTTGGTATACTATGGGTCAAATCTTGATCCATGACTGTGGGTTTTTATTTTTATTTTTTTATTTTTTTTGAAAGGAATCATCTAAATCACAGGTGTCGAACTTCAGGCCTCGAGGGCCGGTGTCCTGCAGGTTTTAGATGTGTCCTTAATCCACCACAGCTGATTTAAACGGCTAAATGACCTCCTCAACATGTCTTGAAGTTCTCCAGAGGCCTGGTAATGAACTAATCAGTTGATTCAGCTGTGTTGACTCAGGGTGAGATCTAAAACCTGCAGGATACTGGCCCTCAATGCCTGGAGTTTGACACCCCTGATTTAAGGAATCATTATGAGCATACTATGCAGGTCCTGCGTTTAAATATATTGACATGTCCTGTGGAAATATTTTTCCATTGGTGGCTCTAGGAAAATGAGCTAGCAAGAATATGTGCAGATGGTGTGTCATATGCAATATTAAACCATATGTGGTATCATTGGACTCTGAACTAATATGACAAAGATCTGTGACTCTCAGTTTATGCTCTTTACTCTTCTACTACAACCCCAGCTGTAGTCTTGCTATGATCTGTAGAAATTAACTGTAGCCCCTCCCACCCCCGCAGATTTGGGATGTATATTCCCTTGTTCCGACTGAGCTGTGACTTCCGACGAGCAGTTCCGCTCTCACCCATCACCAGCATTGGCTCCAAAGAGGTCGGCGGCGTCGGCCGGGGCAGGGATTATCTGACTGTGCTCAAGGAGACATGGAAGCAGCACACCAGCCAGCTGTATGGTGTCCAGGCCATGCCCACTCACGCCTGCTGTCTATCCCCTGACCTAATCCGCAAGGAGGTGGAGTACCTGAAGATGGATTTTAACTGGAGGATGAAGGAGGTGTTGGTCAGCTCAATGCTCAGTGCTTACTATGTGGCATTTGTACCTGTGTGGTTTGTCAAGGTAGGAAACTGTTGGACTTCACTGCAACTTTAATTCAATATGATTTATGAGCTTTTCTCAAAGTTTCTGCATATTTGCCTTCAGAGTACCCAGTATGTGGATAAGCGATGGTCTTGTGAGCTCTTCATCTTGGTGTCAGTCAGTACCTCAGTCATCCTCATGAGGCATTTGCTGCCCCCTCGATATTGTGACCTGCTTCACAAAGCTGCAGCCCACCTCGGGTGCTGGCAAAAAGTAGATCCCTCACTCTGCTCCAACGTCCTCCAACACATGTATGCACTGCTTTTAGTTTATTGCATTTTATGTTCAGTCAGACTAATTTTAGTCAGATTTAAAGCTAACTTTTACCTGTTTTTTTTTTTTTTTTGTACACAGATGGACCGAAGAGTACATGTGGCCACAGGGAGTCCTGGTAAAACATAATAAGAATGTATATAAGGCCATGGGCCACTATAATGTTGCAGTCCCATCAGATGTTTCCCATTATCGCTTCTATGTGAGTATACCTAAATGAAGAGGTCTTGTAGAACCAGAACTGGTATCAGATCCTTTACAGAGCTGTGCTCATACTGATCCTCTTTCTTACTCTAGTTCTTCTTCAACAAGCCTTTACGAATATTGAACATACTCATCATCCTCGAAGGTGCCATGATATTCTACCAGCTCTACTCGTTGATATGCTCGGAAAAGTGGCATCAGACGATATCGCTGGCCCTGATTCTCTTCAGCAACTACTACGCCTTCTTCAAGCTCCTCAGAGACAGAATAGTTCTTGGAAAGGCATACTCATACTCAAACAACTCATCAGACCACAAAGTTAGTTAGTTAGACTTAAGTTATTGTTCGTCTCACTCACGTTTGGAACAAGATAAACAAGCCTAAGATCTCTGTATTTTTTCTACAAATGGCATTTTTGTGTCAAATTTTTGTTCTGACCTGCCATAATAAAAATAAATATTTTTGTATTACTTTAAACCTTGTTGGATTCTGTTTTATTCTCAGTCCACGCTGCTTACAAAATTTCTTTACAAGTAATAATGATGAATAGCCGTCCCTGTGGATTCCTTCATAATGGGAACTCCATGCAGGAGTGGAATCATCCTACATGCTATTTCTTTTGGGAGTGATTTAAAAATGAAGGATTCATTTGCCGTTTGATGCCTTGGTGTTCGCCAGACTCCAAGCATTAATTTTAGAATTTAAAAACTACAGTTTCTTCTCTTTTTAGAAAATAGAAACACTGATTCACAGGTCCATAAGACCTGTTTCCACAGATTTTCAGTCCAGTTCTTGTTTAATTTTGCAGTTTTCCTTCCTTAACAATGGCCTTTTCTAAGTAGCTTAGGAACCAAAACACCATTCCTTTGAAAATAGTAAGACGCAAGAACTGGATTGAAAATGAGTGAAGAAGCAGCCAATGTCCAAAGAAAAGCTTTTAAAGACTTCCAAAAAAACTGGAGAATTATTGCTCAATACCACTTTTAAATTTTTTTTTGGGAAAGTGTGAATTCTTGGGAGCAAAATAAAAAGAAATGATGGTGGCTTGAGCTTTTTGCATAGTACTGTTTGGCCTGTATGTTCCAGCTGGTTGAGCTCAGGCTGAGATGTCCCAATGCCATCGTGCTTCTTCTGTTGCAAGATCCCACATTTCCCTATTTTGTGGCATTGTCAGTTTAATTTACTGAGCAGTAAGAGAAACATTGCGTTGCATTCATACAACAACCGAATCTTTTTGTTAACAAACAGACGCATACCACATCCTGCATCCTTTCCTCTGGTTCTGCGCACACACAGGCAGCTTGGAGGAGTGACAACAAGAAACAAAAAGGTCCAGCATAAGGACATTACTTCTGCCGGAAATTCCGGTCAACTTATAAGCTTTTTTTTTTTCCAGTCATGTTGCTAGTTTGCATCTAAAATGAAAGTGAGGTGTGTGGACAAGCTATCTTCACAAATTCTTGTTGTGTTTAACATCCGTTGGGAAAGAAATAATAATACTTTTCATACAAAGGCTAAAAATTCTCCTCATCTGTAAACTGAGGAGGAAAAAAAAGCACAAAATCCCCCCTCCCCCAACGGATCAAACTCCCATCCATCAAACCCCCACGCCCATGGCCACAGGGAAAGTCAAAAAAGCGTGGAAATTCCTTGCTTACATCCTGCACTGACACTGCAACACGTCAGTGGTGTTAGCAAAAGATGAACACTGGCGTCCCAGTGTGGCCTTGTTCTGTAGCACCCTCGGAGCCTTAATGGAGCAGTAAGTAAGATGTTTACAAAGAGCCATCCTCAGGCGGTGCACAGCAGCATCCTGCCAGTCAGTAACCTGCGTGGAACAGTCGCTCCTCCCCCCGTGGCGCACGGCCGGGTGGACTGGCCCTTTAAGAGGAATAAAAACGACAGCTGAGCTCCGCACGAGCCAAGCGCGGCGTCGACGCTCTTTACCTTTCATCGGTAAAAACACCGGGGCTGTACGGATTGTTCCACTGTATTACATTTCTTTTTAACATCAGGATTCATATGAAGTGGACTTTTAAATCCTAGGAGGAGAAATGCGAGCCGGCGCCCTGCCGGCGTTGCTCTCTGGTGCGTAATTGATTCGGTAAGTCTTATTTGTGTCATCAGCAGACGATGCGTTCCCTTTACGCGTATCCTTTCACGGAACTGAACCCGGTGGCGCAGCGACCCGCAGTCCGCTTAATTGTTCTTTACTCGGGAGAATAATTCTCCCGCTAAAAGCAGAATTTCAGCGCAGAAAGTTGCCATTGTGTATTACTGTAGTGTCCATCTTTGGCTCCTACTTTGAACAGAGGCTGGCGCAGTGTTCACCAGATAACTGCTGTCACAACAGAGATTGCATTCATTGTAATGAGAGAGCGCGATAAATCCAAGGCAAGACCACCATAAAATGTAACTAAGCAACGACAAACACGGACACTCTGCTGTAACAGTTTCACGACGCTGAAAACCGACACGAGCTCGTGTCTTTTAATGCTAATGCGCCTCTGTAAAAATCATAATTCATAAAATATTTAGACTGAATGCATTTATTGACTGACTCATTAAATTCTAATGGCCTTTAATGTCTTTATCGCACAGTGTTAGTCCATAACGCGCCACAAGAATGGAGAACACAGACTTTCATTGAGCCTTTTGTCTAAAAGTTATGTTTATTTTGGATGATAGCGTATTGTTTTATAGGCTCTTGGTGCAATAGAGTACATTTCCTTGTTAAAGTGCGTTCCTTGATTTCTTCATCACTCACGCAGGCTTAGTTCAGTTAGGTTTAGTTAAAAAATGTACGCCATCCAGTTTAGTTCACACATATTTTCCTAACCTTATTCCACTTTCAATATCTTCAAAGTCTCCAGTTTCACCTTCTTTTTTTTTTTTTTAAACACCAAGGAAGCAAAACCATTAATTATCTATCGAATAAATCCTATACAGGAAATATGTGCCTATATATTTCTTATCAAATTATAAATAGTGGAGGAACTGTTTGTTTTGGATTTTACTGTAATCACCTGGGGATGCTGTTAAGCCAGTTAAAGCTTCCCTAAACATGCAGAGGGGAGCATTCTGGGCTGCAGCACTAATTTTGGCACAATGACAATCCTCCACAGGCTGCTGCTTTTCAAACTTCCTACCGTTGTCGTTTCAGGACTTCCTGAACACCAGCCAGGCTGCACCTCAGGGAGCTTCTCCTAATAGAACTAAGTAAATAACAATGGAAGACAAGCGCAAGAAGCGAAGCCCAAAAGTGTCCCTCCCCCAACCGCCTCCACCGCCCATCAACCCCCGCAAGCTCTCCGTCCTGCCTGCCAGCAAAAGTGCCACCTTCTCCCTTGGCCTGCCGCAGCCTCCCTCCCCCAAGAACAGGGGCAAGTATAAAAGGTCCATAGGAGCACCGGGACAGCCCAAAGACGTGTTCACAGCGGTCGTTGCTCCACCAAAGATCACCAGGTTTGTGTCTTAATAAACTACCAGGACTGCACCGCTTTGTGGGGCAGACAGCATGTGTATGTTCAGGGATAATGGTGTTTCACAGTCAAAATAAGAAAGAAATTGTTTAATGCATCAGGTTTTCCTCCAAGAACAGCAATAAAATAACTCACTAAGACAACGCTGTGTTTCACCTGCATTTGATGATACAGCAGGATACAGATTTGGTTCGACCGGGTGTTGTTTTTGTTTTGCTTGTTTTTTAAATGTTGTCATATGTTAACAAAAATAAATAGTTGCAATGTTATCTTGTTTTTTTTTCCTGTCAGACCCCACAGGGAGAAGCCCAGGGCCCCCCAGCCAGCAGGGCCCAGTAAAGTAGTCCAGTCGTCCCCCCTGCAGCACTCCTTCCTCACAGATGTCTCAGATGTGAGAGAGATGGAGGGAGGCCTCCTCAACCTCCTCAATGACTTCCACTCAGGCAAACTGCAAGCTTTCGGTAAGGTAACCTTGATAAGATGCCCCCCCCCCCCAAGAGAGTATTCTGTTACTGGCTGAAAATAAAGGCGAGTGAAAAGTGGCTTTGTTACATGAATCAGGCTGAAATCAAATACACGCTGTGCTATTTTTTTACGCCTCTGCTGCCATGGAAATACTTTTGACTTTGATGTAATCACAAGACAAGACACACTGCGCCATCAGATTCAGGTCTGGTTTAACCTGTCTGATTTCCAGGTAAAGTATGCTCCTTTGAGCAGCTTGAACACGTGCGGGAGATGCAGGAAAAGCTGGCACGACTGCACTTCAGCCTTGACAGCCATGTGGAGGAGCTTTCTGAGGACCAGAGGAAATGTGCCTCCGACCACAACCTGGAACACCTGCTCTGCAACGTAAGCATGAATCCCAGTGGCAGCAGCTTTTTAAAGTGGACATGAAACACCACATGTACTGTATTAAGGCCAGTTTACATCACGGAGCTCTACTCTGAAAAACCGCTATAGATTTAACACCATCTGTAGAGCTGGATTTAAGAAATAAGTGTTTAAAGGTTTTAGAGCACATGTAGCACCATCTTGTGCCTGTACAGAATGTGATCTCACTGGGTTGGCTAGTTGGCCAGAGCCGTTAATTCGGGGTCATGCCAGGTTTCAGAATTCGCTGAATCATAAAACCCTTCAAGCAGTTTCATTGTGTGCTGATAACATACAGACTACTTTTTTACCTTCTTACCCTTTTAAAAACAAAACAAAACAAGGTCCACTGGAGTGAATGGAGATTACACAAGTCTTCCAAGCAACAGCTGTGGTTCCTGCTAATAGACTTGCATTAATCTGTGTTACCTAACTAGTCTAACATTGTCCCGTTTGATTTTTCCTCATCGGGTCAAGTGTACAGACCAATCAGCTGGCAGAGCCGACGCCCACAGGATGTGAATGGCACTATTTTATGTTATCCTGAAGTGTGATTTAACTCTCAGTATTCACAGAGTTAAGTTTGTCTTTTCCTAGGCACACCTGGGAAGATACTTACTTTCTTACTCCTTCATTTACATTTATTTACATATTTCCTCAGAGGCTCCTGTTTTCATTGGTTAGTATCTATTTTTCCTGTGGACATGCTGATGGATGTTAGGATTTCCAATTGTGCTTTGGTAAGAAACTTAGTTATGTGTATGTTGATAACTGTTTGGCTGTGCTTGGGAACAGAAAGACTTAACCTGATGATAATAACTGGGTTTCAAATCTCACCATAAAGCTCCATAAAATGGTGCCAAGGCTTGTACTCCTTAGTTGAGCTGTAATGTTAGGTGGCTGTACATTTTATAGTGCGTTTTTCTTTTTTTTGAGTGATATGATTTCTGGAGGGAGACATTCAGATGCTTTTTGTTTGGTTTTTTTTTCCCCACATGAGAAGGCTGTGACGAAAAGGAAAGTTTGTAGAGCTAATATCTCCACAATTGGGTATCTCAAACAAACAAAAACCTTTTGATAAATGGTACTATAGACTGAAGGAAAATGTGAATTTTATTTGGACAAACCAATGAATTTAAATCCTGTTACTGTAATTTTCCACATGAAATTCAGTTTTGCTGAACTGTTGGCTCGTTTAAAAAGGGGAAAAAAAAGCTCTCGTACAGTGATGTGCCATCTAAGAATGTCTTGACAGTTTCTATTGTTAGTTTGTTGTGTGGCTCCTACTGTAGTTACCCACGCTATGCTCACTGCGGGAAGCTGCAGTGCTCTGTGACTGAGGTGAGAAAAACCCTTCAACTCATTTACAGACACTGCTGCCAGGAATACTCTGGCTTCTAGCTGAAGCCAGAGTGGATAATTGGGCCTCAGAGCAGATGGGCTATGAAGCAACTTTACTTTGTATCGAAGCTTAACGTTTGCTTCTGGAAACACTGCAGTCGATGATGAGAGCGTAACTCAAATATTGATCTGAAATGCACAGGCTGTTATGTAACATGATCCCACAGTGAGATTACTGCCAGGTACTAGCGCTTCACTTTCTATTTTTGGCTTTGTTTTCAATAACCCTCTCTCCTGTTTGCTCCTTTGTTTCTGCAGCTTGAAGAGCTCAGCACCTCAATGTATCCTTTTCTTAGCTCAAATGCATATTTGTTTATGGGAATTGCCCCGACAGTCCAGGAGCGGATGCTGGATTTGAATGTGTTTTCAGTCCTTCTGTGGTGAATCCTTAATGTGTGCACGTTCAGACAAAAGCTCCACTTGGCTGAGAATCAGGACCTGCCCAAGACATCTGGTCCCTGACAGAATGAGGTGTTCGGGATGGCAACCACACACTCGTCTAACGTGGAATTGATCCAGCTGCCTTAGTAACAGGATGGAAAGATCAACGGGAGGAGGGGCTCGTTTTTTCCATTTGGTCAGTGAAGCTGAGGGAACAAAGCAAGGACTCGAGAGCAGCAGAGCATTAACTGAACACTCTGTCAAAATCATGAACCGCTCTCATTCATAACACAAAAGGAACTTGATGGTTAACTGATCAGGAATCTGTGAGAATATCCTGTATGTTAACTTTCCCTTGGCTTTAGTTTTTAGTTACATAATTTTAAGAAAGTCAATCCAGGTGAGTGAACTCATTGGCTGTTTTTTTTTTTTTTCATGCCAAAAAGCACATTTAATGAGACTTTGAAATATTTATACTGTTTCTTTTGTTGTATGTATATGCCTAATCTGTGAGATATTCCATCTAACTGTATGCATCCGTAAGCAAAGGTAAGGAATCTGCACATTCAAGTAGCAAACGCATTCGGCCCTTTTGACAGCACCACTGTGGCTAGCTCTGAAGTTTAAAGGGAGTTTTGCTCTTATTCTGAAAGCACTCCCTCATTTTTATATCTTTGCTAAAGGTTTGCTATTGGAAAACACTGGACGTGGAAAACAATGTTTATTTTCTGTGTATATTGCTGATATCAAGTTTGAATTATGTGCAGTTTAGTTGCTGTATTGGACAGGATTACCTTTAGGTTTTCTTTTTTCTTTAAAAAAAATTAAATTAAAACAGCAGTAGCAGCATCCCTCTAAGCACAAGCTAGTTCACCCTGCTGCTGAAATGCTAGAAAATCACGTACCATTGCATGAAGGTCAAACAGTAGCTTGTTCAGTCTTACAAGGACCACACATGCGTAGTGTTTTGCAGCTAGCATACATTTCTAAACAGTGCTATTTCAAAATGGCAGCTACTTTGATATAAAGGTTCGGTGATTATGATTTGTGTTTTATTAAATTACAAACCCAAGAGTGTACTTTGGATGTCATGTTTAATCATGACCATAGAATTACAGAGATATTAGTGTTCACTGTTAAACATGAGAGC